GGTACCATGTCTGGCATGCTCTCTTTACTCGATGTACCTGTCTTTGCTTTGTTCGATACCGGGGCGACACATTCGTTCGTCTCGACCAAGTGTCTAGAGGCCATAGGGGTTAAGGGTGCGAGTGACGTCGACCCCCTCGAGATCAGCCTAGCTTCGGGGAGGAAGATAGTCACGAGTTCCCTGGCCAAGAACCTTAGCATGTGTATTGGAGGCAGAACTCTAGAGGTAGACGCGTTCGTGATCGAGATGAGGGACTTTGACCTCATTCTCGGCATGGATTGGTTGGAGAGATATCACGCAGACATCCGATGCCGTGATAGAGAGGTGACGTTGCACTTAGCCGATGGAGACCACATCACATTCTTTGGGACGAGGACGAGGACTTTACCGCGTATCATTTCCATGGCGAAGGCGACTAAGTGCCTAAAGAGGGAGGATTGTCAGGGCTACCTAGTCACTATACTCGGGGAACCTTCGGAGGAGCGCATGCCCGGAGATGTACCCATAGTGAGAGATTTTGTGGACGTCTTTTCGGATCAGCTACCTGGAGGACCACCTAGTCATCAGGTGGAGTTCACGATCGACCTGTTGCCTGGAGCTGGGCCAGTGTCGAAAGCGCCGTATCGTATGGCGCCGAAAGAGCTTCAGGAGTTGAAGGCTCAGATTCAAGAGTTGTTGGGTCTCGGCTTCATCCGGCAAGAGCACCTGTCCTCTTTGTGAAGAAGAAGGACGGGACACTGCGCATGTGCATCGACTACCGGGACTTGAACTGGTTGACGGTGAAGAACAAGAATCCACTCCCCAGGATAGAGGACTTATTCGACCAGCTGAGAGGTGCCCGTGTGTTTTCCCGGATAGATCTTCGTTCGGGTTACCATCAGTTGAGGATTCGGGAGTCTGACGTGGCAAAGACCGCGTTTCGTACCCGATACGGTCACTGTGAGTTTGTCGTGATGCCGTTCGGCTTGACCAATGCACCGGCGGTATTCATGGATCTCTGAACCGTGTCTTCCACCCATTCTTGGATCAGTTTGTCATCGTCTTCATAGATGACATTTTGGTCTACTCGAGGAGCACAGCCCAGCACGAGGAGCATTTGAGGATCGTGTTAGAGACTCTTAGGCGGGAGAAACTGTACGCCAAGTTCTCGAAGTGCGAGTTTTGGCTCGATCGAGTGGCATTCCTCGGTCACATTGTTATGGCCGAGGGCATTGAGGTCGATCCCGGGAAGATCGAGGCAGTGAGGAACTGGTCAGCACCGAGGTCTGTTACCGAGATACGGAGTTTTCTCGGGTTAGCAGGCTACTACAGGAGGTTCATCGAGGGGTTTTCGAAGATAGCCCTACCCTTGACACGCTTGACGAGGAAAGGGAGGAAGTTTGAGTGGAGTCGTCACTGTGAGACGAGCTTTCAGGAGCTCAAGGAGAGGTTGACTACAACACCCGTGCTGACTATACCGGACCCTACACGAAGTTTCACTATGTACAGTGATGCTTCAAAGCAGGGACTTGGGTGCGTGCTGATGCAGGAGGGCAAGGTTGTCGCATACGCTTCGCGGCAGCTGAAGCCCCACGAGGAGAACTACCCGACTCGCAACCTTGAGTTGGCAGCCGTTGTTCACGCACTCAAGATATTGAGGCACTATTTGTATGGTGGTCGGTGTGAGATCTACACCGATCACAAGAGTCTGCAGTATATCTTCACGCAGAAGGAGCTCAACATGCGCCAGAGGCGATGGTTGGAGCTAGTGAAGGATTATGATGGCACCATTCAGTATCATCCGGGGAAGGCGAACGTGGTAGCCGATGCCCTTAGCCGAAAGGCGAGGGGCGAGTTGACTTGCATGATCACCCAGCAGGGTTAGCTCCTTCGAGAGTTCGCTCGGATGCAGTTAGACGTCGTCGAGTCACTTTCTACGATGCCTATAGTAGGAGGTGTTCGGTCGATGAGAGTGTGGCCCATGCTCCGAGATCGAGTTCAGAGAGATCAGTCCGTTGATGAGTTCGTCCGTTCCATGAGGGCGAAGGTTGTTGCCGAGGTTGTAGAGGGGTTTTACCGAGGCGCGGATGGTGCCTTGGAGTATAAAGGAAGGCTCGTTGTGCCGAATGTCGAGGCCCTGAGGAAGGAGATCTTGACCGAGGCTCACAGTGCACCCTATTTGGCGCACCCCGGCAGCACCAAGATGTACCCCGACCTGAAATGGTCGTTTTGGTGGAGGGGCATGAAGGGAGATGTTGCTGAGTTTGTGAAGAAGTGCTTGGTTTGCCAGCAGCTGAAAGCCGAGCACAAGTTTCCACTGGGTTTAGTGCAGCCCTTGGAGATCCCACTGTGGAAGTGGGAAGAGCTTACCATGGATTTCGTTACGGGACTACCCAAATCGAGGG